GTGACCATATAAAATGTGACTAAGACCAAGAACATAGCCACAAATTTCAGTGATTTTTTGTATTAAGAGTATTCACTAGCCTTTTGGTAATTCTTCACAATGATTTAGGGAAAAGAATGTACATATTGCTACATTCTTCTTCAATGGACAGCAAGTCAAATTCCATTCACAAAAGCTTGAGTAGAATTACTGCTAAAACGAAAGCTAATCTGGATTTATGACCCCAGAAAAGAGAGCCAAATTTCATCCTGGTTTTTTTTTTTTAAGCATATAATGTATTCATTAAAAACATTGCTTCAATAAAAAGGCTGCTAACAATAAATAAAATATTCAGAGTATCTGAATTATGCAAAATTGGTCACAGGAGATGATTGTGTGTAAGTCCTAGAATCCTTGTAATACACAGGAAGAGCACTGAGTCCCACTGAACTGATGTGATAATTAAATAAATAGCAACTTGCCTAGAAATAGTAGATTGGATAATGTTTCTTTCAACTTTATTTTCAAAGCAATGTGTTTATCTGTTATGAATTGTAGCGAGATATTCTGCATGTTCAGACAGACCTGGGTTTAATTCTAGTAGATGTCATACCATCCCTATAGGACTAATGCTTTCTCCATTAAAATACTTTATTCACATTTGTAAAGTATCCATTTGTCTCCACTTCTATTTTTCAAGTCAGATGATCCTCTAGGGAGATGTTTATCCATTTCTTTCCCTTTCATGCTTTAAGCCAACATCAAGGAGTAGTGGGATAAGGTGACTGGGACAAATGAACACACCAGTAATAAAAAAGCCTTATGATTGTGGACCATGTAAAATTCATGGAAGATGGAAACCCTGCTCTTCAGGCTCTGATGAGGTAAAGGACTTTCCTCACAAAGCAAAGTTGGGAAATGAACACTAATCTTAGCAGAGACAGTCAGATGTTTTCAGTTCATGACTTTTAAGGAAACTCAAATAAATAGAAAAAAAGAAATCACAGATTTTAAAAAAAAGAAAAAAAGAAAAAGACACTAAGACACTTGGGATAAACTTCTCCAAAGGCTATTTAAGGGCTAATTTAAAAGGCTGAACTAAATATTAATTCAGGATAACCTGAAAATGGTGATCATACTCTAAGAGAATATCTTGATTTCTTCACTATATAAGAAAGAAATGGAAGGCTTCTGGATGGACAGAACTCAGTGCTGCTTCAATTCTGGGCTGAGAAATGATACCTTCTTGTGAATACTCACAGACACCGGTAAACATAATTAACCTTTTCAAAGATACCAGAGCATTATTAGACATTATGATTTCAAAAACTATTTGTAATGTAAATTAAACAGGCAGTTGTACTGATTAATGTAAAGAGGTGAAAGGAAAAAGACTACCTGACTGAAAAATTGAATGTAGTTCTTTAAAACACAGCGTCTCTCTACTACCCATCCAGAAAACCTGAGTCAGAGCAAGGTGATAAACTTTATCTAAATTCATGAAGCTGCCCACTGAAGCTCCAGAGAACCAAAATCTTTTTCTCCGTTTCCAGATCAGCACCCTGTTCTTCGGACCACATTGTCTCTCTGCACCACCTGGTAAATTGATGCAGCTGAGCTTCAGTTTATACTGGTTGAATTCTTGCAGCATAAGCTTTTTAAGAAGTCACTTTGCAGCACCAACAATTTAATTCAGCTTAACAGAAACATAGAAATAGAAACAGTAAAATGTTTTTTGACCTTTGCTGTTGGCTGCAATCAAACCCATGCAACAGAAAGAGCAGAGAGGAAATGCTGGACATACGCTCAAGATGAAAAAAAAAATGTTTGGGGCATGTAACACAGTACACTGAAGAAAACATTCAGGAACAATTCATCGTGCTGATAATATTATTCCCATAAGGCTGAAAGGGTCGGTGTCATCTTAGATTATGCACTGTACAAGTGCCAGCCATAGAAGACCCACCCACAGGCCCTACACTATCAGGCAGAAGGTCACTAAACACTAGCAGTTGATCTGTGGCTCTAGAGACTCCAAGGAGGGCCACAAAAAAAACCCATCAAATGAAATGTGCAGGTTTCTTTTTGCTATTATACAGATTATTTTGCTAAAGAAGATGACTAAGCATTAATAATGGCACTGTCCTATCAATACATATTAATCAATGCCAATGATAAATGAAAATTAATTAAGGCAATTCAGAAAAACATTCTTACACTAAATTCCTCTCTATTTCCTTCAGGTACAAAAACAGCCTTCCAAAGATTTCTCTCTGTTCAAAGTTGTTTTTCTCCAAAGACATCCCAGCTGGTTAATTGCTTTCACACAAGCCTGTCTAACTTAAGAACTCAAGCTAAGTCCTACTTTTCTTATCCTATCAGTCCTTGGCTCCTCCCAGATATGACTGACACAGGTAGCATATCTGACCAGTGTTCTCCTCATAGGACTGGGATTTTGTGTCACCCTCAAAACAATTCGTTTATGCTGACACTGCAAACCATGTTGTACATGCCAAAAGTCCAACAGGGGACAGCCTTTTGTCACTCAGATGCTTTTTCTGTTGAGTTTGGAATGGGCATTACCTCAGTGAGACCACAAACCTGGGTCTGCATCTCCAGAAGCCTTTCAAGCTGCTGTCTGAGATTTGAACCATACTTCTCAATTCTTTAGAACTCCAGATGCCAAGCACACTCCACTAATTCACACAGAAACTCTGCACAGTGACTGATGACTGAAATGCAGCCAGCTCTGGAGTGAAGCACAGGCGGTTACAAGCCAAAGAGCCATGCCAAATGGTCAGAAGGAGAGGAAGGGATGAAGATTATTGTCTGAAGAGAAAGAGTGTGGCAAATTTAGATTGGGAAATATCTTATGCCATGAATCAAAAGACATAAGCTCTCTTTGCAAAAAACTGGGGAGCCTAAAAGCTAATAACTCTACATTAGTACAGCAATTACGTTAGCTTTCCTGTATTTTAAAAACCCAAGACAAAAGTTTAATGCTTCTGGCTTTGCTTTTTAAATAGAAAGTGAGAGTTACACTAGACAAACTCCAATTAAAAATCTCAGCAGGCCTGGCAGCTGTGCTGAAAAAGAAAGCTTTTCCACAGTACCTAGCTTGTGGATTGATTTTAATAATGGACATTTTCTTCCCACAGATCCAATATTTATATTCCTTTTGTTATTTTGAAAACTCTCTGGGGACACATAAATCTGGCTGTATCATAATTACACTTACCTTCGTTTCATACCTGTAATCAGATTAGGATTTATGGCAGATGCTGTAGGAAGACTGGACAATCTAATCTGAATGGATAAGAGAGACTCCAAGTATTTTTCAAAAAGGATAATCTATTTTATGGAGAATAATTAATTTTGTCAATTTTTCAGGAAGCTTATGTTTGGTCAGGAGCATTTTTTGGCTTATTCCTGAAAGAAAACATTCAGATGATTCCTAAGTCTTTCTTCTCAAGTTCATGTCTCTCTTTCTTCTAGTTGCTCCCAAATCCTTCTTCCTTTCCACAGTCTTTGCTTCCATGGAGCTTGCAGCACTGCTGAAGTTCATTGTGCTTAGCAGGGGTGGAAAGCAAGACTGATGTAGGCTGGTTGAGTCCTTCTAAGAGAAAACCTAGGGTTGTTCAGCTCATAGCTACATTCAAACCCCCACAAAAATCCAAGAATCATGTTTTTTATGGAAACCCAGTGGCAGTGTTTTACTTTGAATACTGCTTCTTCTTGGACTACAAATGTCAAAAGCATATCTGTAGTGATGCGCTGCTGCAGGCTGGCTTTGGGAAACCCTTCATAAAAATTTGTCAGTGAGGCTGGGTAACTTCCCTCCTCTGATGAAGTCATCCATTCTGGTCACAGCTACACTCTGCACTCTCCCTGGGGCTAAAGTAAACGTTACTGAGGAGAAAATGTGCATGACTTACAAATACACAGCACTTCACCACATGCAAGTACTTGCAAATATTTAAGAACGGAATAGCTTTCTCAGAGGTACCTCATGTACACCATGCTCAACCAGCATGATGACTGTGCCACCCTCAGTACACTGCACAGCCAGTTGAGAACAAACTATTCTATACTGCACTTGCAATCACAATTTTGCTGGATGCTCTTGCCTATCTCAGAAAGGATGGTTAAGTGGTCAAAGCACCGTGTGGGGACTGGAGAGGTAGGGCCTCTGGGGTCCCAGGGGCACTTTCAGGAGCACAGGGACACCCTCTGCATTTGGTCAGCATGAATAACTCTGGCTCTGAGAAACTGCGTCTCTGTCCTCCTTGCACATTAGCACTCTCTCCCCAGTTATGTGCTGCTGGGACTATGTTGA